GGTATCCAGCAGCAACACTGCTGAGCTGTGAAAGAATCATATGTATTTTTAAATGATCAGATGGGGTGAATGAGGAATAAACAAGAAATATTGCCCCTTTTCTAACACTGAGTTATCAAAAGCACAACAGAGATATCGATATTGATACAGGTAAATGCTACATAAAACTAGAACAAATAGGTTTCATTAAGTAGAAAGGGAGAGATACTAATTCAGTAAAAAGCAGTTAAACTTTTGAAAATTAAGAGCTCAGTTTTAGAGAAGTATTGCTGTACATTAAGCTAGAGCAGGTGTGTGAGAGTGGCTGAAATGTACTTGAGAGTAGCAGTCATTCATCTTTCTCCTGAGGGAGCACACAAAAAAAAGTCCTTTCCTGCCTTATTTTTAAACATGCTACAGTAAGAATCCAAAAATGGCAGTCAAAAGTAACAATTGAGACTTAAGAATTTAACCCTTTTAGGTCAGAAATAGTCCCACTGAAATTACTTGTCCCATTCCATGGAACATGTGCTTATCTAGTTGAGGACACGATTTAGTGAAATTTCGTTAAGAAATGGGTGTAACTGATAAAAAAATCAAGCTATATTACTGATTATAGTTATACTGACCTTTTCTGAAAGGGGAAAAAAAGGTTAAACAATGCTTTTTGCTGATTATTTGTCCTTTAATCAGGATAAGATCAAAGACATTAGGAGAGAAGGCTGCACCAGCTGATTTTTTGTGTCACAAATATTAATTTGGACACTGAGGTAAGTATTTTAGGCAAGTTATTTTCTCTGTTGTAGAGGAGTTCTGCTTGCTCAGTGTTACTCTGAGTTCGCTGCCATGGAAATAAGTGAGGATTTTGATGGAGTAAGATTGCAGTGAGACTTACAGGAATTCAGATAGTTATGGGATAGACAATTCAGGTGCTGAGTGTGGAGACTCTTAAAATGGAACTACATGACAAAGTTTAGGTGCCTGAAATACTTCTGAATTGCTCTAACTTTGGACAGGCAATATAGGACTCTAAAACTGAAATCCTCCACGTGCATAGTCTRTGGGATAATTGGACTTTTTGTGTTTGAAAGTTGGGCAAACTGCATTGATTTACAGTGATCTATACATATGAATACATGGAAACGTATSTGGTGAACATAAACCAGAATGGCTCTTTTTAGGCTAAGTAACTTTAAAATACTGTGTTCTGTTCCTAGCAGGACAACGTACAATTATAGTAAAACTGATTATAGTAAAACTTGACCTTTTCTGAAAGGGAAAAAAAAAGTTCCTATTTTGTGCTGATTRTTTTTCCTTTAATCAGGTTGGTTGGATTACTGCAGAAAATGTGGGATCTGCTGTGATTGAGTTACCAAAAATTAATAGAAGGCTTCTCAGCAGATTTTCAGCCTTGAAATTTCTTGTTTTCCTCTGACAGCTTGTCATTGATGGTAAATGGACTCAGCACTGTGCAGTGGTTTGCAGAGTTGCAAGTAGGTAAATGCAGGTAGTTCTAGAGTATGTTACTACCTTGTGAATACGTCAAAGTGGTATTTTATGGAAACATTTCAGTGACAGGCTWTTTTCTTGTTTTAAAATGTTTGCTGATGATGTAKTTGAAGAAGGGAGAAAGTGAATGAACATGRCATTTCTACTTGCAACCTCTGTTCRAAACAGTTGTTACGGTACKSTGAGTAAAATTGTTTTTTTGTTCAGGAGTCCTGCAGAAAGTCACTGTAATATTTGAATTCTAGGTTTTCCATCAAAGCATAACTTGGAAGATATTTAAGGTATTCACAGGCCTTCTGCTGGCCCTGTGTCCAGGCTATGAGGACAAAAAAGTGAATTGGAACTTAAAATAGTAGGTTTGCTATATGTTTTTTTTCTTCTTGTTGTTCTTTTATAGTAAAAGGGGCCTGTTTCTTATTCTCAGTTTTTATTTTTGAAACTAATTTATTCAGTTGAAAAAAGGTGGGAAGTATCTGGTAATTTGAATTGTTTTGTCCAGTGTATTATCCCAGGCCAGGTTTTCTATGGTGTGTTATTGATTGCTGTGTGTGGTGTGTCTTTGAAATGCTTCAAACCATGAGAATTTTATCTTTCTTTTGGGGTTATTATGTCATCTAAGAGATTTCACTGACAGTAAGTTTTTCCTGATAATACAGGTAGCTCTCTTCTCTGGTTTTGTGATAAGCAACTCCATTATTCTTTGAAATATGTGGCTGATCGCTAGAYATTCTCAAAAAATTCCCTTCCAGATTGGAAGACAAAGAGAATTTTAGGCAATATAGAGGATAGATAGCAGGAGAGAAAAAAATTTATCAAGTTGGATATACTTTCTGATTGAAACATGTTTCTGAAGTCTGCACCATATTCTTAGTGACACAAAATTATGATGGATACTACTCTTGAGAGACTCAGATGTACTTTTCTAGCGACCTAAGTTGGCATGTTATTTCATTTTTAAGATACTGACAGTGAAAAGACTAAAAAGTGAGACAAAATCTGTCTGCAGAATAAATAYGTGAATCCTTCCATCATTTCAGCTTTCTTCCTCTGCTCCATKTTGTTGTGTTTGTATCCCTCATTTTGGATTTTTATCACATATTGTGAAGGCCGGTGTTCTACAACAGGATCTTGGCAGGTTGAGAGCTGTGACTGTGAATAATGAGTCAATTATCACTTAGTCAGGGAAAGTGCAGAGTGATCCTGTTGCTGGCTTGAATGTGATCTTTCCCTTCTCTTTCTCTTTCAAAAGTAAGGAGAGAAATGGTTGAAATTCAGAACACTGTCAAAGAATTACAGCTGTGATACTTRTCGGCAGATTGTAGTTCCTTTAACTTTAAAACAAYTTATGTGTGTTGTTTTTTAATAATRTTTTTTAAGTTCATTACASTTACTGCTTCAAGRGAGMCAATTAYATGATGCATGCATTGGGAGACTATAGGTGTTARTAGTTACTTTGAGCTGAAGTTGGCTGGTCCTGAGGGACTGTGCTCAAGGCTGACAACATAATGTTAAAATCAGCTATCCCCCTTTAATTTATATGGCATGGCCTCATTATGCACATGGTTGCATAGTTGATGTTCTATCCACAGAATTGCCTTAAATAATTGCTTTGGGTTGCTTAGACATTTTTCTTCAAAATTTTTCTTTGCATGCAGTCATGAATCTGGTATCACATTGAAGTGGTGAACGTTTTCATCAAATGTAATGTTTAATATTCTCTAACCCAATAACTCTGCAATGGTCTTAGCTAGAAAAATGTTTCTGTCAAAGGTTTATGACTGATCTCTTAGGAAAAGGGATAGTGCTTCTAAGCTGTAGTCTGGGGTTGGTAAATGGCACATAAATACTCTGAAAGCACTTGCTTTCTTACTATCTTATTTAATCTGTCTAGCTTTTAAGCAGTGACAATAGCTCAGGTGTCCAGAAAATATATAACCTAATAACGCAAGTTTGTCAGCTCATATGTACCAACTAATTATAACTGCCCAACTATGTGTCGTAGGTCTTTTGATGCTAAAAGTGATACTGTTTTCTTTGGAGAATTCAGAACCTATATTTTTGAGAAGGATGATCTGATTTATATCCCAGAGGAATGATCACAGTGGTATACAAGATAAGCATGGGCCAGTGCGGGAATATCATGTTTATTCAGACTCTGTTGGCTGCATGAATTGTGCTTCTGGTCATTCCAGTGATGATTTCTATTGTCTCTCAGTTGGTCTGGCTAAGAAAAGTGTATGGTTTCCAGAATAGTTTTATGACTTCTCTTACATGAATGCTCATGATGTGCACAGGGAGGATGTCCTCAGGCCCTGTTGTACACCATAGGTCTGCAGATGTTTGGCTGCATAATTTGCCAATACCCATTTACCCCAAAATACATCAATATTCTSTCTTTAAGATAAAACTTGCCCATTCTTAGTATAAAACAGGACACTCACCCTGTTTTATTACTACAGTAAAAAAAGATAACATTTTTTTGAGCTGACCATCTASTTCTTCCTGTAAAGTAGGGTCACAATAAAATTACCCGCAAATAGTGGGTGACCATTTTACCAATCAGGAACTTAAAAGATGGTTTCATGTCTAATACCGCTTCATTTCCATGGCTTAAAAAGTATGTTGGAAAAAATTATGACTGATACGTACTGCTGTATCCAAATACTGTTCTAGGAAAGTACTTGTTAAAARAGCAGGGAGAAGCAAGATGTTACAGAGACCTGGGATTTAGAAATTATTCARAGGATCCATCTGTCATCTGAGCCTTAAAACCTGTTTGCTAGATTTCTCTGGTGTGGTGTGGTTTGCTTTCTATGAACCCTGATGCTTGTAAGTGGGGACCTCAGGTTATACCCACACTACCAGCCCTTTATGTGTGTCGTAGTAACTGCAAGCACAGAGCTGTCCCAGGGGATTAATAATTCTTTGCTGTATGGCTCAATGTAGTAACCCCAAAGGCATCATTAAAACTCTCCACAAGAATTACTTAAATGCTTATAATACATAATTATGTTTTAGAAATGCAGTGCGGTGTTTCTTATTGTTGCAAAGTAAATTTTACAAACACCAAAAAGCTTCATTAAATGAGCATTTATTTTTCATTAAGAACATGTGGTGTGCAGTTCATTTTAATTGATTGTCCTATAGCTGCTCCATATTTGATAATGGAGYTATTTAAGTAAAAATTAATGTTTTTTTATTTTGGCCTTGATTACTGTATTTTTTGCTAGGTTGAACGAAGAAATCCCAACTATTCAGCATAGGTTTGAAAATCCATACTTGCATGCACATAGTTGCCTATTATCAGCTTCTAAATCCACACTGTACTATTCAGATTTGAGCTGATGGTCATCTGGCTGTGTCCTAATTCTGCTTTGTGCCCCATGGATCTGGCTGGTAGGATAGTCAGAAGCACCTGCAGTTTTCCTAACCTTGCTCTTGCTGTCTAAGGAGTTGTTAAATGTCTTGGATAGTGCATTACGTTATCTGATCTGGTGTGATTCTCCTTGCAGAGAAAGAGGAGAAGAAAATTCAGGAAAGTGAAGTGGACTCCTTAAGTAAAACGTTTCCTACTTCTGAATTACCAAACAGAAACAAACAGGATGGCTCACCCAAAAGAAGGAATGAAATGTGGATGTCATTTCCACCACAGAAGCCAAATGAGAATGAGGTAATGCGTTAACATTTGTCCATGTGGACAAGCACCACATTCAAACAGATGAAAATATGGACAGATACATTGTCCAAATGTTAAAGGCTAGTGGTATTTATCCTATTTGAGGCAAATATTTAAAATGCTACCTAAGTGTTAARTGCTTAGAGAGGCACCTGCAGGGATCATGTTTGGCAGTGGCATTTGCCCTGCTGAAGAGCTGCCATAATCTGACTRACAAATAAGGCACCCTGCAATGAGCTGTGTAATGCTTTCACTGGAGACTGCAGTTAGTGGTAGAGGTTGGCAAAAAGAAAAAAAATATCCTGAGTGTATGGATACCAACATGGACAAATTTATTTTATTTTTTGTAGATTTTAGGAAGTACAGAGCTTTGTATTGCAGAAGGTAGGTTACTGCCTGAAGYAAGCAGTAGGCAGGTCAGGGGCATTTTTGATCTTCTGAAACACAGGAGATTAGGAATTTCATATGCAGGTACAAAAAACAACAGACATCATCTTGAGGGAGTGAGATGGAAATCTGAGTCAACTTGTTAAGAACTTACGCCTTCCTGCCTGAATAACAAATAATTAAGTTATGATCTAGTCTGTACTCAAAATTTCCCTTCAYTAAACTTTCATTAAAAAGAAGTAGCAGGTACTTTTGTGAAATACACAGTTACACACTGCAGTGCCTTCAAATGATAGGCCTGCCAGGCCTCAAAGCACGAGCTCCATTTTCCTTCCTACTAGGACATGTCTTTGAGGTAGAATCAAGCAAGGCTTTAAAAACAATTACATTCTGTCAGTTGTTTGTGTAATAATAATGACAATAATATTTTGGCATTTTTTCATAAAAAGCTTTGTTTTCTCATTGGTGTAATTTGTCTTGGTGTCTCTTTAGCCACATTGAATTGTCTTTCTGCCACATAAAGCAATATACAACTTCCATTATCCTTGATGTAATTGGAACATCCATAATTCTTTATGTATGTCTTTGTTTCTAAAGAAGAAAAAGCTTCAGACATGGCACATTTTTGTCACATTATCAGTTTAAGAAACAAATAGAGTAATAGTAGAATGCATCAGAAAAACTCTAGTGTAGTGGCAGGAAGAGGTCATAATGCACTAAGTTGAACTCTGTAACCTTTAAGCCTGCCCTGAGAAAGGAAAGAGGGAAAAAAACTGTTATTGAAAACAGTGCCGCTGTTCTAAATGCTGCTTTTAAGGCATGCTATGATTACTTGTGGTGTTGTTCCAATTGATTCMGTCTGGTCCTGTGTAGGTTTTCAGAGAATTCCCTGCATCTGTTCTATTTTCAGGAACATTCCATTCACTTCTTAWAAGTTTTTATATACAGTGTATATGAAGCTGTTTGAACACAATCCTGAGTAATGTGTTCTAGGAGACCCTGCTTGAGCAGGGAGAGTGGACAAGGTGACTTGCARTGGTYMCTTCCAACCTTACCCATTCTGTGATTCTGTGAACTGTATGTATAAATMAGTAGGAGCTTTGATTGTGATTTTGATTCTGTTTCATGCATTTAAGTATTTCTGCCCGTCTGTTTACAGACAGTGATGAGTGAGAGCTGGACAGCTGGTGTCTCTGATGGAAATAATCCCAGCTTGTCTGAAAGAGTGAAGGTGGGKTTTTCTTTTGATTTTCTTCAAAGTTGGGATTATGAGCAGAACATGACTGATTTTTGCTGTATTAACTACAAATTACTTGCAATTTGTTGAGGTATTTCTGTGATGATGTTTCCCATCTTTGGGGAAGAAGAATGAGAGCAGTCCAAAATTTTTTCTAATGTTAGTTAGCATGTACTTTTAAGTGTAAATGTTACGTAAGTCTTGATGTTTTCAAACCAGGTTGGAAAAAAATTATCTAAGCTTCTTTAATTGCTTCATGGAAACACAGAAGACAACCCAGGGCATGTAAATCTTCCATGGTAACACTATTTGCAGATAGGCTGGGAGAAACCTTTCACTCTCACCCTGTGCATCTATTCAGAGTGATACCTGAAATGAGAAATGTCTTTGGGTGCATTTTACGTAGTTTAGATTGTTCAAGGGACATTAGTCTAAGAAAACAGTAGATCAAAGCCCCAGATGAAATACTAGAAATGTAATAATTCCTAGTTTTTTAACTTCCTAATCAATTAATCATTAGTGTAAAAACAGAAGAATCAAGCTCTAGTTTGCGTACAGCATGTTCTGTCTTCATGCCATAATGAAATGAGCTTGCAGAATTGCACAGTAGTTTATCATGTATCATTTTCCTATGAAAATATTTTACTTCTCCATCTTCACACTAAGTTCCTGAAAAAGTTATTGTACAGCTTGAGCTTCCTTCCCATCACTTAAGTAGATGTGCAGCAATTTTGGCAGTAATTCTTTGCCTGTACCTAGAAGTATTTCCTTTGGGTTACACATTTTAAAGAAAAATCTTTAAAAATGCTTTCTTGGAAAAATGCAGAGGAAAATGAAGAAGATGAAGCAGACCATTTAGTGCATTTTTGCTTTGTTCTAGATAGTACTATAAGGAATGGAATTTATATAGTCTAATCAGTTTTCCAATTTGGGTTTTTATGGCAGATGGACAAGTACTTAAASTTGGAAGATGTAGACACAGATGAAGAGACATGCACTGGTACGTTTCCCCCTTTCATATTCACCGTCATTTTTTGTCTTTGAGTGCAAGTGTGTGAACATTGATTACAGAGCTGTTTCTCCYCTATCAGAGATGATCTTCCTCTGTTCTTGTATTGCTAGAAAATCCCCCACATTGCCCCAATTCCCCCAAATGAAGTACTAATTTTCTCACTCTAAGAAGTAGTGAAATAATAAATTAAAAGGAATATTTACTGTATTGTGTCCTGGTGACCAGTTATTTTCCTTCAAGCTTTTCTAGAAGTGCAGAGCACTTCTTGTTAACAACATCTCTCCCTTTTTCTACATTTCTATTCTGTATTGAAATTACATTGATTTCTTTGATTACTTGATACAAAAGTTTTTTCACCAAGTAACATGGGTGCTAAGAGACAGTTCTGTAAAGTGGAAATATTTAATGAAAATGCTGTCCCTATCTATTAAAACAATTTTATCTTGGGCTTAAAGTAGATGAGAGTAATTTTAAATTCACTGTGAACTTCTTTAAGAATTCCTATTATGAGCATTTTGAGTTATGTTGAACTGTTCTGTCCATCTATAATAATTTTAACTCTCCCCCTTCCAAAAAGTAAATGGAATACTAATGTCTATAGTTATTTGTCTGTCATAGGTCATTGTGTGGTCTTTATAGCAACCAGAATTGACGACCTTTTATCATTTAAATTCATTTAAATTCATTTTCCTCATCTGTACCTGTGACTGTACAAGGAAATCAAGCCACATAGCTTGAGGTCACAGACAGAAGCTTTGATGATTTGTTTCTTAGTTATTGCCACTTGATTGGTGTCTCTACTCTAACAGTAAAGATTTGATTAGTCTTTCCTTTCTGTATATCCCAAATTCCGGTGAAGTCCGGGGCTTAGAGACTTCCAGTATCTCGCAAGAAAACAATAAACCAASAAAAGTCAGGTTTACAGTAAATATTCTTTCTCCAGCCTAGGCAATTTCAGAAAAGAGGTAGTAAAAGAGCAGTCTCAGATCAGGTACAGATATCATAGATTTATTTTGATTGCAGTGTTCATATGTGCCCATTTTTTCCTTTGTAGGGCATTGTTCTATATTTATGTCTTAAATTCCGGTAATATCTATTAAAAAACCCCTGGAGCTTACTGATGGAAGCATAATCCCACATTTCACTTGTATCACAGTGAAATGAGAAATGCCTATATCTAGCTCATGAACGTATTGTTAGATATCTCTAGTTCCAAACAGGCCACAAGTTGGTTGATGACAATTAAACACAATGCTAAAATATCAAGTAAAACAGAGAGGGAAAAGAGCTCTGCTTAAACTTGAGGATAACTGGCTGCATTTAGCACTGTGACAGGCCTTGCCTCTCTCCAGYGTTCAGGTAATTTCTGTGTGTTTGTGTGTGTCCAAGAGTAAATGTTAATCRCATACATGGGGAAAGCCCTGGTAAAACACACTTGATTTGAGGCAGACTCGCCTCAGTGCCGAATAAGGCTGTATCAACAATGCTTGCTAATAAAATTAAGCTTTTAGGTTGTATTTTATAACACTGAAACACAGCCTAGCCAGAAAGTAATTGTTCCTTCTAAGTGCAGTAAGAAAAGTGAACAACATCCAGATTTAGATCTGGGAAACCCACAGCCTGGGTCTTTCTCAGGGYTTCTGTGGTGAAGATAGTTGTTGAGTCAGGCTAAAAAATTTCCCCTTGGCTCCTAATTGCAGAAATTAGCACTGTTTGATAGTTGTCTTACATGTCTAAGTCCCCTTTATGGCTTCATCATAAGAGAGATAAAACCTTAGTCCTGTAGAAACCATAGCAACACAATACAATTTAAAATATAGAATTATGTCACTTCTATTGTTTGTAATGATAAAGTAATCTGGAATAATATCACTAGTGAATACCTTAATAAAGGATTAATCCTGAAGAAGTCCAGTTAGTTCTAATTGAGGCAACTTTTGGCATGAATTAGAAAGACATTCTGTTGTTGACCTTTTTAAATGCTGCAACCTTTTGTCAGAACCAGTGATTGATATAAGACTTCATATTGTTAAAACAAGCTGAAAAATATCATAGCTTACTTTACCCAGCAAAAAATATCATACCTTGCTGGTATAATTGCAACAAGCCTTTATCTCTCCTTGTTATTGGCAGCAGTTCAGTATCTCTGTGCTTCACTTACCTTTAAAGGGCAGATCAGTTAGCTGACTTAGCACCTGTACATTAATACAATATCCACACTTAAGGGCACCTGGCTCAAAGCTGACAGTATGAAAAGCATGATAGAAAATAGGTGTTAAAAAATCCCATCTAACCAGTGCTGTTTGGCAGATGTCCTGGAAGAGCCATTCTAGTGTTTTTGTTTGTTTGGTTTGGTTTGGTTTTTATTTTGTTTTGTTCATTTGTTTTTGTTGTTTTGTTGGTTTTTTTTTGTTGCTGTTTTATTTGTGGGGTTTTTTTCTTTTTTTTTTCTTGTTTTTATTTTCCAATTTATCTTGCAAAGTTCAATGTCTTTTAATGTATTAATAAATGTGACTGCTTCTTACAAGTTAGAAAAGCAACCTACAGATTTGGCCAGTATGCAAATTCATTGTGGCTGTTTTTGTTTGACAGCACTGGGCTGAAAGCTTGAAACAAGAGCAATGCTTTCCATTGTAAGACTTTGGCACAGTAAACCATGATTGGCAGAGTAAAATTGCTGCCCTAAACCATAGCTTTAATGCATCGTGTAGAGACAGCATAGCTGTGGTGTACAGCCTAATCACTCTTTCTCCCTGAATTTAATCTCTAACTGTAAGTAGCTTAAGGCAACAATAGAGATGATCAGGTTTTCTCCAGGGATAGATGGGGCTTGCCTAGTGCCTGTGTTTTGGCAACAGAATTCCTTTCCAGGGCTGGTTACAAATTTCTTGCTGCAGGCTTGAGGGATAGCRGTATAATAATACGTAATATTTCAATAAAGTCTAAAATATGTAAAAAGAATGTCTGGAGATCTTGAGTGTGCTATTGTTTAAATACAAGGGAAAATTAAAACAGGACTAACTGAATGTGTGGGAGAGGCTGCATAGGCAAGGATATAACARTCTCACCCTAATCCAGTTCGGAGCACTGAGGTACTGCAAACTTGTCTTTTCAAGGTTCCAGTTGTCTGTAACCCCGCAGAGRCTGAGGAGAACCCAATTGACTCAGTTACTTTGAAGCTGAGGCCAAGCATAACTGCTGATTATTTAAATAATTCTTCAGGCAAATTATATCAACATTTGTTACTTTTCATAATCTGTGCCTTCCCATTTATATTTTGAACCTGTGCTTACATCCAGAAAAATCAGGTTAAGGAAGAGGATTCACACTTAAATGAGGTGGATTTTTTAAAGTATGGGGCTCCCCCCAGCTGGTGAATCCCTTTCTTGTTTTTCTTCTCCAGTCTTTGCAATCCATTTAACATGCCTTGAGATGATTTCACACTAGGCAGCTCTTTGGGACTAACAGCCTGAAGCATGAGAATTAGAGGAGACTGCAAAATTTAGCTTTTAAGCTTTTTCGTTATCACTCTCTTCTCAGCTCCCCATCAACAGCATTTTTGTAAAATGTAGTGTCTGAAAGTGGGAAAACCTGTGTCAGTGTATATATAGCTGTCAGTGTATATATAGCTGGGCATCGTTTGGCTACAGTAAAGTTACAGACAAAACTTTGAACTTCTTTGCTCTTAAAAGTTAAAAGCAGACTTGTGCCAGAAGACTTTCTTCTATACTCATAATTGATGTCAATGGTACACAATATGCAAAAAACTCCAACTCAGCTGTGTTGACAGATTTTGTAATCACTTTCTGGGATGTGGTAGTGAGGGACTAAAGAGAATTGTTCAGTTTTCAAATTGCTGTCATTAAAGTATGCAGGAYTTGAGTATAATCATCAGCCATATCATCCAGGGAGTTGATTCTTCATGGTATGAGGGTTGCATTTCAAAATGTCTTCTCAGTTTTTTTGGTATCGCTGCCTRTTCAGTTATCTCTATATATGGTGCCGTTGGCAGTATCCAAGGCTTTCCTGTTGCTAATTAATCACCTCCACAGAGAACATAATTAGCAGCTTAATTAGGATCATCATCCAGTAGTGCTGTAGCAGCAGCCTAAACAAGCTGTGAGGTACTGGCTAGAACTTACAATAGCCTGGAGTTCCTTTGGGTGCTCCCACTGAGAAGGARGACTGTCAAAACTCTCTAATTTTGCTCTCTGAAGGGGTTTCTTTATTAAACATTATCAGGGAAAGCAGCRTTTACCAATTAGACTTTCATATGTTGTCACACAGCCAGGATACAGAGAGACAAAGCTCATTTCTGGCATGTCTACTGGCAAACAAAGGTTGATTACATTCTTATGGGGTGATTGAAGGGAATTTGAAACATTGTTTGCATTACTAACAAGCCTTAAAAAGTGGAATTGACATTCTGAGTATGACAAGCACTTCTTGCTAAAAGCAAAAATAAATTTCCTTCTGTTGTCCTAATTCTTAAGAGTTATGTTTCTGGACCATTGCCAGGCTGTTGCATAACAGTGCTTCCTCCACATCTTCTCTCTSCAGATTGGTCTGTTGAGGGGGAGAAGCTCTTAGTACAGAAATAATCAGTGTTTGTACCAGTAGGTGATAAAAACCTCTTGATGTCCAGACATTCCTTACTTTGGTAAGGGTATAGGTTCAGGTTGCAAGTTTGAAATAATGGTGAAAGATGCTGTTGTCTTTAAAAGAGCATTCACATCTTCCTCCTATCCTACAAATGCTTTTGACCCAAATTATGAAAAAAAACAGCTGGAGAGCATGTGAAGACATAGCCTAGATACCTGTGCTGTCCTTTTCAGAAAGCTCTCTCCTGTAACTGATGCAAAATCAACCATCTCCAGATGGCTGGAGATGGACTTAAGCAACCAAGAGAATGAGGKTGAAAACAGCCCCTCTTATATGTTATGAGTCATGAACCAAGCAACAAAACTCCAGAAGTAAAGTGCCCAAGGGAGGTAATTCAACTCTTTTTAAAAGAACATTCTACTTTGCAATTCGAAACCCTGCTGGCTTGTAACTAGTACACTATTCCCAGAAGAAAACTAAATTAAGAATTTGGTCATGGATTTTTTACAAAGACCAAGCTAGGAAATCTTTATTTTCAAATGTAGATTCACAGGAGAATGAGAGGTCCATGACTCCTTTACTGTGGTAAAATCATGCAGGTAGAGATAAATAGCCACTTCATCCTTTTCRCCCTGGATCTATGCACTCTCTTGTTGCTTCCATTAACTAACATTTAAGCAATGCTTTGAAAATTTATTCTGAGATTACAAGAGAAATGTAAATGTAGTATAAAACTGTAAAGAAACTTGTGTATCAGCTGAAAAAATAGTAGGTCGATTTACATAATCCTTTGACTAAATTGCAAGACATATGGTCCCCTTAAGTTCTTTCATAAAAACATTACTGAGACAAGATGGACACATCTGTGCTGTAGCAGAGCTGAGATTGATTCATGTTAGAAGATATATCTAAACCTAAGGCATATCCTTCTGATCTGTCACAGAATGCAAACCTACTGGTCCTGGTATGAATGTTTTGCTCAAGTTCATAAAGGAAAAGTGATTCAGAAAATCTGTGCATTTGTGAACTGTGGAACAAATCCTGCCCGTATGGAATGGTTACATGTCACTCCATCGCAGATATGGGGAAGTCCTCCCGAGTACCTCTTTTTGGAAAGCTYAGGGAGAAACAAACGTCTATGAAATACCCTTACAAAAGAGAGTCATCTGGCACTGTAATGGGGAATATTAGTACTTCCACCAGGTATTTTTACTTGATGTTTTCAGTCATATTAAGATGCTTTGCAATGATTCTTTATGCCCAATGTACAGGTGGTGAAGCTCTAGCAAAAGATAAATGAATGAGCCTGCTCAGCTCATCAGTGTCAGACAAGGTATTTCATAACTTCTACTGCAGACATCTCTGCTGAGCGCTTTCCATCTATGTTCAGAAAGAAAGGAATGTAATTCCAGGTGCTCTCTGAGTTTAAGAGCATCTACATCCAAATTTTAATTCAGCACTCTTAAAAAAGAAGAGCTGCTTGTCTGTGTTCAGCCCAGTTTGATTTTTCCTTAATACAGTGTTACTATCTAGTTAAATCAGGACTCCATGGATGTGTTTTAATGATAGCTTATGCAACAATAAGTACATCACATTTGGCTAACAGGCTACTGCCCATGTCTGAGCACTTCAGGATTTTAACAGGATTTTGCTAATATGTRCATCAAGTGGAAGGTTAATGTTGACTCTTTCATTCAGCAGGGTCATTAGTTCTCCCAGGAGAAGTGGAAGAGACAGTGACTTKCTGTACACCCTTCTTGGATAAGCCTACTCAGCCGAAATTCAGAACCTTGTCAGTTCCCCAGCCATCAGATGGCAAAGCACAAGAGGTATGAGATCAGATGCATTCATTCAAACTTTGGGGGTTTGGGGTATTTTTTTTCCTATTGACTTCTAATGTTMTTTCTGCAAGAACAGAGGGATATAGATGGAGTATGTAGAACTGCTGTGAGTTAACAAGCCACATTATAAATTTTTAAATGAATAATGAATTCTTAAATAYGTTAAGAATTGAAATAAACACTCTATTTTATCTTACACACTGCTACTATATAATCCAACATTTTCAAAATGTGTACTGCAATACTTCAAATGGTATGTGGGCTTTTTAATATTTAATATGTGTAACTCACAGAATATTCAAGTATGCTCTTGCACTTTTCAGCCTTTTAACAATCCTTTCTTAGGTAGAATGATGGACCATTTAATTTTCCAGTGATCTTACGATCTTATGGCATACACATTTGCTTAATATGGGAGCCATTTTCTGTAGCAGGGAGGTAGTGAATGATCCCTTTAACAKTACACTTAAAAGAAAAAAGGGCTTTTAGATTATAGTGTGGTCAGAATAAAGATCTGGTCCCTTGGAACTGAGTAGTAGCAAGATGCTGCTGAGAAACTGCACTGTCAAGGCCTGGTGGAGAGGTTTGCTTTATGGACTCTGAGCCTTTTAATCAGACACAGTCAATGCAAGCTCTAATTTAGAATTGCTGTCTTCCTTCAGAATTTCAGTTCTTTTCAAACTGCAACAGAAGGTGTGGATTGCTCACAGGCTTATTTTAAGCCATTAAGCTTCCTATCCAAATAGTCATCGTGAGCATTAACTTTTGGGGATGTTTCTATKGCAGAGAATTCTTCACTGCTCTTTTCCCCTGCCTGATCATTGCAATAGAAGCTGAAGATAGCTTCCAGCTAAAGTGGGCCAGTTTTGGCAGTTTCATATGCTTATCGATGTTCCCATGAGGCTTAAATCAAGTTTATAAATGACGCGTGACCAATGAAGGTTTGGTGTTATAGCACTGCATATGGTGCCTCCTTTCCTGGGCTCAATTGTGTTTAGTTCMTTGTAATAAACTTTACTAGAAGGAGCAAGTCTGCTTTGGGAAAAAGTAGATGTTCTAAAATGACCTTTCAAGCTTTAATACCCACCATTCTGTGAATAAAAATACTCACTCTTTTCCCGAAGGATTGACATAATTCAGGGTTTTTGCCTTTAGATATAGCCATTGGACACAAAATAAAACTCAAAAAACTAGAATGAGGTTTTATAGCCTTCTCATTTCATAACTTCTGTATAAAACCAAAGAAGAAGGAGGGTTGTAGCAGCCTGCAGTGTTCATAAAGGACTGCATATGATTCTTTAAACTATAGTTCATGAAAAATAGATAAAGATCTGACTGCATGCAAAATTCATTTCCATTTGAGAGAAAGTTGGGTTATGAAAGAAACTGAGTATTATTACATTGGCTATGAGTTGCTGCATTTTTCAAGAAGAAAGACAATTTTCACAACCATTTGGTTTGTGCCAGGCTACTTAAAATGAAGGCAGTCTTCCCCCTAAATTATAAACATATTTTTGCCTTCATTTAGATAATATAACTGTGGCCTGATTTTTAGAACTGTCAAGACTGAACAGGTCCATTTTAAAATCCCTCAGTGCTTCAAATTGTCATTGCTTGGAAAATTAAGTCTTGCATTGCTTATGGCAAGACTAGTTTAGAAAAAGATTTTCCCTGGAGACATCTCTGCTTTAAAATGAGACTGTTCTCTGTCCATCAAAACAAATCTGTTAGGGAAGGGCAACAGAATGTGTCTGCCTAATTGGTTTTCTTAGAAAATGGAAGGCCATTCTGTATGAAAAATAGCAGGATGAGAAATGTCTATGCTATGGAAGCACTTGTGAGGCACTTGTGAGGGTAAATTGTGTATCACTCAACATATTGCTAGGGAAGTTTGAAAAAAGCAGCTCTGCTAAGACCCAGTTTATAATTTGGATAATTGTTAAAGAACAACTTGTCACCCTGAAAATGTTTTTCTGTCAAAAGGTGTTACGAAGTGGCTTAGTGAGTGACACAGCAAATTATTTGTGTTGTTCACCGGTTCTGCTTCATCTTTCTTTCCTCACTTTAGACATAAACATATTCCAGGATTTCAGTATCGACAGTGTGACATGACCTGCCACAGGCCACTGCAAATTGAACCAGCATTCATTGTATGTTTGAAGTACATTATTATAGAACATTTCCCTCCTGTATCCAGAAATTTATTTTCACCTGTATTTCTACTTAGTATATTCTTTCATAAAAGATATCATTGTAATTTTGTGTCTTAATGCCTGCTTCCTCACATCTTTATTTGTTCTTATTTCYCTCTCTGCATACACGAGTGCAGCTGAGGCATCATTTCCATCCATTCACTATAAACATGGATTCAAAGTGGGATTTATCTCACCTAACTTCTGCTTTAAATGTAGTTTAATTTAGTCTTCCAAGAGGAAGAGAAGCCACTCCAGAAAGTGATTCATCCCACTTGTAGTGGGCATTTGTTGTAAAATGTAGTATATCTCCATCCATAGGCTCTGGCTGGGCCATTTTTGGCTAATTGCCAGCCTYAGTCTAGAAACCTAATTTTTGAATGGCTGGGATTAGGAAAGAAGATTTCTACCCTTCTGTTCTCCTTTATTTGTCTGTAGTTTGAGCATTCAAAAAAAGTATTTAGCGTGTCTGTCATTTTATCTTAATCTGTGGCATGGCAGCATGTRTCACCTAAAATACAACTTCCATCGAGTTCCTTTGGTTTAAAGTTCTACTGATAGGCCTCAGCTGAGGTTTGTTTCTGCTACGTGCTGTGCATAAATGCAACAAGAACACAGAAGAACTTAGACAGGATTGACTAAATGAAAGAAGATGGAAGAGTTATATCTTCTCAGAGGCCAGTAAAGACACAGAGATTGAATGACTTGTCCAGAATGATGAAGCAGAAGTGGAAAATTGGTCAGGTTTATTGACTTCCAGTCCAGTGCCCTAAACTTCTTTTTCTCCCAAGAATATATGCACAGTATATATTAAGCTTCTATGAGATCATAGCATATATGCCTTCATCCCACATTTTTTTTATTTATTGTTAGTGAACTAGTAATATTTCCCTTGAGCATGGAATGAAATAATTGGTGAGTGTATGTGCATGCTTTACATAATTTGAACAAGTGAATCATAGAGTATCATAATTACACAGAAATACAAGTTTTAGAAGGACAGAGACAAGCTGTTCAGCTAAGTGTAACTCCAYACAGATTAATAAAAGAACTGAGTTGCAAATTATTAATAGATTTCTGAAAATGTCAACTTTAAGGTATTTTATTTACAATATTACTTTGTAAAAACATCTGTAGCAAAATACTGCAGTTATTAATAGAAATATTGCATTCTTTCCCTCCTTTAATTTGGACATGCAGGAACTGTAAATGAAAGTGATTTTTTCTTCACAGAGTAAATCACAGAAGCAATCTTAAGCAAACTGGCACTTTTCTAATAGAGCAGGATTCTATTCCCAGAGAGGWCTCAAAAAGATTTCAATTAGATGTTAAATTAGACACCTGAAATTCACATATTTCTCTCAGCTCCTTAGGCAAAAATAACAAGATAATAATTTGATCAGCTCAGAGGATTCAGTGTTCTATTGTAAAATGCCTTCCTTTTGACATAGAACAAAATTGCAGTTTGCACTATATAAATTTTAGATTGCTTGTCTTCATGGAACTTAGAAGTCAGTGGCTTCTTGGAAGAAGGAAAAAAGGAATCCCTAATGCTTTGAGTACTCATCTGAGAGAAGAAGCACACTGATAAATATGCAGTGTGAATAAACTTTTCAAATATGCAATGAGTAGGTAACAGAAAAATTGTTAACAGGGTGAAGTTGGGTATGTTTTATTTTGGCACCTTACTTCAGTTAGCATTTTGGGGTCAAGTTTTGTAAACAAAAGTTTTTCCAGTATTTTGCTGTATCTGCATAAAATGTTCCTGGAGTGATGTGAAGGCCAAGACAAGGTCACAGTGGATGTGTGTTGACAGAGAAAAATAGATTTRCTTTTGTAGAACCCCTATAAAGGCTTACTGTAGTTTGAACTCAGTTATAGATGTGGTTCATGGTTTAACCCTGGGCAGACATCAAGCCCTGCAGCTGCTTGCTTGCTCCCCACAGTGGGACTGGGAGAGAATCAGAAGGGTAAACTGGAAAACTCACGGGTCAAGATAAAGGCAGTTTAAAAGGGAAAGCAGAAAGCAGGAGCAGTGCACACAAGCAAAGCAAAGCAAGGAATGAATTCACKGCCTCCCACGGGCAGACAGGTGCTCAGCCATCCCCAGGAGAGCAGACCCCACCATGGCTAAGGGTGACCTGGGAAGACAAATGACATCACTCCAAACCCCCCTTTCTCCTTTGTCCCCCACTTTATATACTGATGATATATAATGTCATATGCCTGGAATATCCCTTTGGTCATTTGGGGTCACCTGTCCCAGCTCTATCTCCTCCCACCCTCCCATGCACCCTCAGCCTCTTCCCCAGTGTGSCTGTACAAAAAGCAGAAAGGGCCTTGGCTCTGTGTGAACCCTGCTCAGCAATAACAAAAACATGTATTATCAACCCTGTGTTCAGCACAAATCCAAAATACAGCTCCTTATCTGCCACTGTGAAGGGAATTAACTCTACCCCAGTCCAAACCAGCACAATGTTGTAAAAAATACTGTTACAACCAAAATAACTGAAAAATATTTGTGCCTTGCATTGTATTTTAGAAGTGTTTTGGAAKTCTGCAAATGAAAGACAGGTATTACAACCCTGGTTGCTGCTACCATTTGTTACCCAGTTGCTGGTTATCTTACTGACAAGGAATTCTAGGAGGCTCTGCCTGTGGAAAAATTGAAAATGAGCATGAATATGCTGGGGAAGTTGAGGAGTTGGCTTTATCTCTGTTGGGAATGAGGGCTTGTGTGCAGGCTTTGTGTCCTGTTAACATTTTTCAAATGTGCTATTTATAAAAGTTAATGATGGTTTACTTGGGATAGTCCGTGGGCTATAAATATAGCAAGAGAATCTTTGTGTGCAGAATGAATAGTGTTTTCTAGACCAATTCTATCTACAAAGTTTTTCYCATTTATAAATGCCCATGGTCTACAGGTCTGCATCCAGGATTAYCTGGATCCTCGAACATCTAATTAAGCCAATGTAAGCCAGATCCCTAGAAAACTGAGCAATACAGATGATTAATTAAATGATACAATCCCAGAAAAAAATATTTCCTGATTATTCATGCACATTACAGTTTATTAATAAAGGATGTAGATACTGCCCTGATGCTCTCTGCCATGTTTATCGAGTGCTCAGCTGCCAGAGAGGAATGCAGCTACCACTTCTCTGACTTATTAGATGTCATTAACTGTGTCAATGCTACTTCTTACAAAATGTCACATCGAATTGTGCTGGATACTGGCCTTCTAAACTAAGAAGTGATCATAAGATGCTGAGTGCTCTACCTGCTTTTCAGCAAATATGTGTATTCCTAATTTCAAATACATCGGTAGTCATGGGCTTCATGGAGGACTTGTCAGAAGCTAGAAAAAATTAGCATGTCTTTAAATRTTTTGCTGACATAGTGCTGAAGTATTTAAGTCTTTGAAACACATTTCTAGACATATAATATTAACTTCATAGKATAGGGAGCATTCCTAGACAGTTTTAGTAGTGAGGATGTGTCTCCTGTGTTGCCCTGTGTTGCCCTGGAATTCATTTTATGTAACTGCTTACCATAAACCTTTCATGTCGTGGCCCCCTGCAGTTTCTTATCAGCATGGAGCCTGCCACTGTTATTTGTTTCCATTATTTTATTTTATAGGCAGAGTGTTTATTCTAAGATATTTCAACCAGAAGCAATACAGAAATGCTATACAATATGTCAACAAAGCACATTTTGGCAGACACAGTAAGATTCTTATGCTCATCATGCAAGAAATGCAAACCAGCCAATTCCATCTCTGAGATGGGGAAAAAAATTATTGGAGTCTGAAAATTGATTATGTGTCATTGCTCATTGCAGGCCTTTCCTTCACTGAAAMTGTATTCTAGGAAGCATGATTAGTATCAGTATGCTGAAGCTTTATGTAATACTAACCCAAATTTTGAGGMTATGGAATCTGTCTTTGAAATTTAACATAGCTGCATATAACATGTCCATATCCCCACAGCCTTGCTGCTACAAGTGGCAGGAATATAATAGATGTGTGCAAGGGAGGTTTTTAGATTCCTTGCCTCTAGCAAAATTAGTTAATGATATTCATTCAGATACAGTACAGTACAAATGTGGGACATTAAATGGCTTAAATTAGGTCAAATTGAATAATTGAATTTATTCTTTTACTTAAAAAGAGCTTAATCAGCTGTGAGTGTTAGAGTCAGAAAAAATAGTTTAATTAAATATTAATTAGAAGTTTATATTTTGAGCTCCCTTATTATCACTTGCAGCAATATTATTTATGTATCTGTTTTTCCTCATTACAGCTACTGGGAGATGATGTTCAACCRTTTTCAATTGATGAAGAATTTGATTATGATAATGTGGCACTGACCCCTAAATTCTCTGAAGCTGAGCTGARGGCTCTTATAGAGTTGTCTGAAGAGAAGAAAACGGATACAAATATCAAATCAGCAGGAGCTGAAGACTGAGTCAAAGGTGCTCTGTACAGAGCTGTTGGAATGACTTTTTTTTGGGGTGAATATAGCTCCTCATTRTACCCTTATTTATTGTTCTTGTCTGCATGGCCAGTAAACCACGAGATCTGTTGTTTATTCTGCCGAGGTGCCTTGGAGCCTGTGTTGGCTCAGGATAGGTGAGCTGGAGTGACTTCTCCATAGGACCAAAACCAGCTGGTGGATTTCAGAATWGCATCCTGGCTACTCTTGGTTATTTCTGGTACTGACTTGGTTCCTATGTAGTATAAAGCTGGTCCTAAAGCTGCATTTTATCTTCTTCTTTCAGTAATGCAATTAAGAGCTTTTTTTGCAGCTGACAAATCAGTCTATGAATGCGTTCCTTTAAATGTATAGCATTACATGAGTGAATAAATCTGGGAATATTTCTTTTTTTTTCTGTCTTTTGAGTTACTTCAGTTCTGTGAAAAAAAAAAGTTCCTGTTTCTAACAAACTTTTTGTGTTGATCAAAACTGACATGGTACAACTCCTAAAATTAAAACAGTAACTGCTCAAAAAAATCTATCCCTTTCCACACAGAGGAAAAAATAGCAATCTCATCCATTAAAGAAATTGGCATCGGAAGGCTGTCAGATTTTACATTTTTTCACAGGAGATGATTCCAAATACCAGCTTGTAGCTTACATTCTGCGTCACAAAATACAGCAAACTGGAGTTGAGTAAAGGTCAGCTATATGGGTGGGAGAGAAGAGCGTGCATCTCTGGCACAAGGTAGTATGTTGTGTTTCTCCGAGGAGTTCCGAATCCTTTTTTTTTTTTCAGCTAACTGCAGAAGCTTTGCTGTTGAGGCTTGGTTTAACCTCACAAAGCTGTGTTGTTTTGTTGGTTGTTTTCTGGTATAGCTGCATTCACTAAAATTTACTGACCAACATTTTATCCTTGGCCTATCTCCATTATTTCTGAAGTGGGTGATTAGCGTGGTAAATATGACAAGAGTGCCTGAGCAGACTGACAAGACACCAAACCATTGATTTGTTTAAAGGCTGTGGATGAATTCTCTATGGCTGGTCGGCTACTTCATTGTTGGCAATTTACAAAAGCAAAGAAAGGTGTTCTGATGTTCCAAAGGAGATTTTCTGGATCAGTAATTTTGTAGACCATAATCATTCTCCACTGAAATCTAAATAGCGTTGGTTTTGAGGAATGKTATTTACCTCGATTAGGGGATATAATTTAAGAGTGAGATTTTTTTTAAAAAAAGGACTCTCACAAAAGATATTTAAGGAGACTGATACAAAATTAAAAATATGCTGTATCGAAAAACTGGTTTGTACAGAATCTTTCTGGTAGAGGTTAATGAAATTTTTTTTTTAACATGTACACTCAAAAATATGCCTGTGCTGTAGTTAAAATGTTTTTTTTTTTTTAATGTAATTGGCTGTGTAGCAGATTCTTCTGGGGTTTTTATAACTTTTTTAATTGTGGATTTGTTTGAATTCAATGTAGTATTTTGTTGGACCCAAGATATTTTAAATTAAGTGCTTTAACTCCAACTGGAATTTTCCAGTGAAACCTTCAGTAAAACATTTCTGAACAGATACAGTTATTRATTCATCTTCTTCTGAAAGACACAGATAATGTGTATAAATTGGAAGGATAAGAAGTTCTGGAAGAGCTCCATAGCAAATCTGGGAGAAAGAAATTGAGAAGTGCTGTACAATGATGGCAAGGTCAGCCTTTGAAAAAAGAARGGAGACAAGCTCATTAACATATGTATGTATAGCAAAGATAAAGTAAGGAAACCTTCTGTCTGAGAGACCTCTCTGTACAGAGTTTGCTGTCCTGCAGAGAAAGAATCAGCCATCAAGGTGAACTTCTGTGGCTTTGTGGAATAGTGAATTAGGTGTTTCTTGTATGCTATTCTTTTTAGAAAGGCATGAGTCACAAACTGTAGATCAGTCCTGTGGGAATCCTATTGCCAGTAGAGTCAATGAGGAAGCTTGTCTAGGGGTTTATAATATTCTTCAGGCCAAATSAGCTCTGGAATCTCTTAAGTGTATTTTCTATTCATTTCATTATCAATTTTTCACTGTACATTAGGGATACATCCTGCAGTTCAGTTCTTTCTCTTATAAGCAGATGATTCTTACCAAATGTTCAGAGTACCTATTATGCTCCATAAGTGTCGTTCAGTATAGTCATTATATGGTTTCCTTTGATATAAAGAAACACTTTGCTGCAGAATACCCAACAAAATTGGAACTCTTTAGTGACATTCATATTACACAGAGAAATGGGAATAATTCACTTACATTTACACCGCTCATGAGTTAGATTTTTGCTTTTTGTTAACRGACATGAATATCACAGTGAAGATTAGGCAATATAGGCTAATTTTCTGAACATGACATTTTATTGGCTTGCCCCTGTGGTTGTTTTTAGCTTGTACCTTTTATTTGATTACTCTTTACACAGGAGGCATATTTTCCTCTTAGTCATTACCAGGTTGTCATTTTTAAGAACATATTTTATGTCCTTTAAATTTTATACTTTCTCATGGAGTTAGTTACCTGGAATTGTTTCAGTGTTTGTGAGGTGGTTTGAAGTCTGAATAATATATATCTTTTCCTCTTGTAGCTTGTATTCACTTTAATATTTAATGTTTTCAGCAGGGGTTGGCAAGGGACATTCATCTTTTCTATTTATGGCCCTTTCTAAACATTTTTCCTTTTTTCCAAAATAATTAAAGGCAAACATGGAATGGGAAAGTTGGAGTGCTACTTGGGACTGGCTTAAAGGSTGCTGCAGTAGGGAAAAGTTTTCTCCCTACTACACTGACAAGGATTTTGAACTGCAAAATCTCTGACATTGGGTGAACCCATTGGAATTGAAGGCTGTGTGATGCATCTCCCTAATCCCTTTGTATTCATGACTTCATTGATGTCTAAAGTGCATCCTTATCAGTCAGTGAGCTTATCAGTATTAAATTTGTTGCTAACTTTGGTGTTGCCAGAAAGATACAGTTTCTCTCCACAGTTTTGATCCATCCTCAGTTATAGGGGGAAACTCTTTAAGTTATATGGGAAGTGAAATAATCCTTCCACTAGGGCAGGAAGYTGAAGCCTGCCTGAGGTGAAGGATTGGCTATTGTTAATGCTCAGGGCTACTTCTCATGACTGTAAAAGGAATAGTAATTATTTGTTGAGATAATGGTTTTGGAAGAATGAGATAAAGACTGAAGAAATGAAAAGAGATGCAGGCAAATCTGACTCAGGCGTTATGGGTATAAATAYGTTTCTATTAATGCACAGAGGTATCCTGGTATACACTTGTATGCACACAATGCCACTGAAAGAAAATAATTTTAGTATGGAGAGTACCCACCGGATAATTCAGAACCTTATGAAGAAGATGTCATGGAAACAAATCCCTGCTCTTATGGAAAAGACCCTTTGATCCTCTGGCCTTGATTTTCTGCTKCTGTAAACTGGCAGAACTCCACTGAGGCCATTTGTATTCATACAGAGCAGACAGGAGCCTGGTATTTACAGTCTTAGCTGAAAGAATATGGAGCCAAATCAATTCCTGATTTAACCTCACCGAATATATAGTTATGTATATGACCCATTATCATTATGGGAAAAGATTTAAATGAAGAGCCAATGCAAATGAAACGTAAAAACCGTGTCTTCTAACTGCTCAGATACTACACAGGTAATTTTGGAGTTTCTGTAGTCATGTGTGCTTGGAACATTGCCTTTTGCTTTAACAAAAATATCACATGTATTTTYAAGTCCTATGCAAATCATGAAACTTGATTACATGCATAACTACTGAAGATTATGATCTCCTTTAAAGTGTTTTTTTTTGCCTCTACATCTTGGTAAGATTGGAAATGCACTTTGCTTTATCTTGGAATTGTTTTTAAAATTTCTGACATCCTTTGTAAAAACAGACACTTTCTTATGAAGGTAGACTCTCAGTTAATGATGCTACTCTAAATGCAGAAATAAAAAGAGGACCAAATTCCTGGTTGCTCAGCAACTTCTTTTACATCGTAGTGTAGGTAAACAGACATTTRGTATAAAAGTGTCTGCTTGGATATCAGGTTGATTTGTATCCTGCTGTCGTCCTTCTTGAGTTTTACTCAGGAATCTAAGCAGTAGCTTGGTCTCACCAGTGCATGAATACTGACCAAAGGAGCTGAGCCAGTGGTCATGTGCTAGGGCTTCAAGCACACTTCAGTATAGATTAGCCAAGTGTGGCTGTTCATCTCTGTTCAGCAGAGATTTGTGTTACATCAGTAGTGAGTGTGCTACTCCAAAGGCGTGCMGTTGGAAAGTGGTGGCTGACAAGGGTTGGGGCAGAGATTTCTTGGACCCTGTTCACTTGCTGGGCTGTGCTGAAGCTCAGCCCYTTCCCAGGGCTGCCCTTCCCAGGCTGCAGCTCAGCCCCTGCGTTTCCAAACCCCYGAGTGAGGTGAGGAAACCCCTGCTCAGGGTTCTGCTGGCCTCAGGAAGTGGCTCCCTGCACCTCAGAGCCAAGGGCTGGGGCCAGCACAGGGCATTCCCACCGTGGAGCCCTTTCTTGTGGCCAGCTGGCAGTTGGCACAGGTGGCCCTGAGGTGCCACATCTGCCCTGGGCTCCTCTCTCTGGGACCCAGCTGCCTTCACCAGTCCTGGGCACATGCAGCTCTCCCAGGTGCTAAATGTCTGCGCATCCCTTGGGAAAACAAGGCAGACAGTTTTCTCTGCAGTGGCATTAAGTTGCAGAACATGTCAGAAGATGATGAGTTTGGTAAATTTGTGATTGCTGGCTGATGGAGGTGGCCACTTGTGTTTTGCTGGTAAGATATGGCAAAACAACATCACAGGTGTATGGGCTGTGAAATACCACAAGTTAGAGTGGAGATGATTTTAGTGCTTTTCTGTGACAAGTATGCATGAAGAAAAGCAAGTGTTAAAACGTGCTGTCATTTTTATAGACAGGCTACTTTATTTGCAATTGCAGTGCCCCACAGTTAAAATAGAAATCAATTTTAATGCCTTATGAAAATGCAGAAATATTTGTCTCATTTACAGCACTTCCAAAAAGGACAGATAATAAAATTCCCCTGATTAACGATCTGTAATTTTATGTAGTCTTGTTCAGTACATCTCTCCGCATTAACTTGCCAAAAGAATAGGGAAAAAGAGATCTGAACCATTCCTAAATCTAACTTCACAGAGTATCAGATTGTTGAAACTTTCTCTGTGTAAATTGAAAGCCCTCTCTTATCTGAATATTCCCAAACTTTGAGGAAGTAAATGCTTAACTTTAAAAATTTCTAACCAAACATTTCTCTAGCAACTACATAGTACTGGACTAAGACAAAACATGATCTGGACTAAGAAACCCAAAGCAGTAAGGGACCTGCCTATATAAAAATAACCGATGAAATATGACAGTTGGCATTACTGAACTCTATAGGAAGATAATGGATTAAATTTTTGGAATTAAATGAAAAATTTTATTTTTCAAGAGAGTGAAACCAATGCCAGAATATTCTGTTGATTTCATGCAGTTCTTGAAAGCCTTTGAATGGCCAGCTGAAAAATCTGTGTAATCATTTTCTAATTCATGTTGATTTACAATACAGTTATCTTTTGAGCCATTAAAATGAGATTAAAATTTGTATGAGATTCTTCAGTATATTTTGTGATAGTCCTAACACCATAAATTAAGGCTTTAGCCTCATTCTATCATATGTTGTGAGTTTGTTCTTTCATGGCTGTTGTGGTTGAGGATTCTGGTGGCAGTTTCTGGAGAGCAGGTGTGTGCTTACAACAAGTAAGCACTAAGTTTAATAAGTTTTCTTGAATACATCTGCTTTTATGTCCATATGTATAAAAACTTGTAAAGTGCAGTATGATGTGCATAATTCTTAGAAAGAGGCAAGCGTCATTTATGATGTTGCTTATGCTCCTCAGAATARCTTAGCGAGGAGGACAAATTCTACTGATTACCTGAAGTGTTGACTCTACCATTTAGATTTGCTGCAGATTGCATATTTGGTTTTTGAGAGAGAAATGCTGGAATGCGTTTTCCAGCCTCTTTTCCTTATTTTTTTATTTTGTCTTTCCTATGTCAGTTTTGTAACTAGCTTTCCAGAAGCTGACACCACATTAATCTGATGAGCTACTTCCCTGCTGGATAAAATTATAAAGTAAAAAAGACGGAAAGGTGATGTGTGGGCCAGGAAACATCAAAGCATAGTTAGCATTTCATGCTCAAGCTTAGCATTTGCAAAACTGTCAAAACAAACAATCAGGAAAATACAAATAACGGTCAGCCTATTTATTGAATGAAAATTTAATTCCAAATGGCCTTTGTTTAAATCAGCTGCTTACACTTTGGCTCCTCTGCTCACCAAGGATTCAAAACCCAGACTGTCAAAAATACTGACAGCTTTC